CAAATATTGTTTCGTAAGTTGACGTCTATGCATATTATTCAGCTGGTTCCTTTGTGATGTTTCCCACAAATGACAGTGTAAATAACAACAGGAAGTGAGTGGAACAATCATTAGAAACATTTGAATGGTGCTCACATCTGTGTGTAACTGCGTTCTATTGTGAACTGGGTGTTTCCAGTGGCAAATTGGTCAAATGGTAGTATTGGTACAATTGCCTACAGGCTACCTTTGATTGGGTGATATTAGACAGGAGCTAAATACTGACACCATCCGCGTTCTCAGGACCGGGTTCTAGGCATACGTTTTATAAGCGGTGGGGGAGAGGGGTCGCCAGATCAAAAATTGCTTAGGGCCCCTAAACGGCTAGAGCCGGCACTGAATGTTCTACTGCGTGACCTCCAGTTTCCTCCTGAGCCCATCGCAGTAACTGTGCTATGATGTGCTGGTCTATGGGGTCTTCTTTAGTTTCTTTAAGTTGCAAGAAAGCTGGCCTCCAATTATTCTGTCGTGTTTTGGGGTTAGTGTGTGTTTGTAAATTAATCTAGTGGCCCCCCATGATGACATTGCTAGGTGACTGTGGATTTGTCCGTGTGTTCTAGCACATTCCATTAATTTACCCTCCTAATTAGCAAACCCTTTACATGCAGGGCCCGTGTGCTGGGGGTTTGGTGTATGAGCCAGTGGTCACTAGGGGACACTCGCCATCACATAATTGGTGCCGTCTGTGGGTACACTCGGCTAGTTGCCCACCCAGAATGCAGCAGGGCTTAGCCTTTACCGTCCTGGAAAAGTCCCTTTAGGCCTTGGGCTTCGTTCTGATGATGAATTGTGGTGTAAGGGGTTAAGCGGACAGGTTAGTAAAGACCGTGGGAGTGTATCACTTGGGCCAATTTTTGTTTATATTTTGAAATACCTCAAAAAGTATTGTCAATGCATGCATGAACAATTACAGTGTTTGTTTGATTTTATTTGAAATCTGTTTTGTATTTAACTATGATTTGTGTTCTCCCAACTTTGACTAACACTCACCTTTTGTAAATAATAACCGACAAGCTGGATCCCAAACTACAGTGTTTAATAGCCCCAGTGATTGCTAACCAGCCCCAGCCATGCTAACAACAAAACAATCCCCAGACACAGGAAGTGCACCCCGCCTGTGTAGATCAGTACTCACCACAATTGTGACAGTTAGGTCAGTATTTTTACACTTTAATACTGTATTTCATAATTTAATCATTTGAAAGTATATAATGCTGTCACTTGACCTGTTATAGTTTATTGATTTAGCGCATCCTACTTTCTGAACTACAGTTCCTTTTGTTACTGTGCTATATATAAAGATGCTCTGTGTAGAATCCTGCCTCTAACGTTTACAAATGTGAATATACCCCCCCTATGGTGTGTTTAATACCCTAGGGCATTTTAGTGACAAGAAGAGTCAGGGGCAGGTGAGGGGGGGACAGCAGGGTACAACTTAAAAACAGCCCCCTTTATAAGGTGCCAGCTTCATCTCAGGGGTGACATCCCAGGAGCTACCTCCATCCCTCCAACATCCTCCATATCCTGCCTGTCTTCCTCCACCTATTTTGTGCAGCCATCTCTGGTGCTTTTCCTCGCTTCTGGCCTTCACCCCAAACTGCTCCCTGGTAGCCCTTAAATGCATTCTTACCAAGTCCCAATAGGAGGGAAGTGTATAGTGCGGGGCTGACCCAGTTGGGAGCTTCTGGAATCTTCCGGAAGGCACCAGCTGTTACTTTAGCAGGCAATTCCAGAGTGAGTAATCGGGAGATTTGGGCGCATTCCCACTGGGCCGCTGGATGTTGGGCCGGTGACGAGGGTCGGGAAATGCAATTTTATCATTGTAATACTCGCTGCAACGCGGAGTGGAACGCGGGTGTGCCGGTTTACGGTCGTGTAGCCGACTCTCCGAACAACACTCATACCTCACATTCTGTCTTACACACACAGACGTAAGACGTACAAGTGTTGCCAACTGGGCTGCCTCGCCCCACCCCCCCACCCCACACACACACGAAACGAGCATCTCGCTGTTAGTCACCTGACCTGACGTGATAACAAGTTAACGTCGTAGAGCCAGACGGACAATGACTCACAACAGGGAGTTTGAAAAGAGAAAAGGAAAAGCGGAAAAGTCAGGACCATTTGAATTCAATGTATGATTATAATTCTTTAGGGCATTCAGAGTCAACACTTTAAACTTGTGTGATTAATTTCAAATACTTTGCATATTGGACATTTGTCAGCCTCAGAGCTATCTATATTACTGCTTGACTTGAGCTGTCATGATTGCAGTAGACCTACTGACCTGTACTTATTGTTTATCTGTACCATTATTGCCAGTTGAATTGTCCTGAGCACTTATCAGGTATTCTTTCACTATATGATCGGAGAGCAGGAGAGCAGGAATGTCCAGAATGGCCTAGTGTTGACTTGGGAGTCCATACCTACTACATCATGCATACTACATCATGCCTACTACATCATGCCTACTACATCATGCCTACTACACCAGGACTACTACATCATGCCTACTACACCATGCCTACTACATCATGCCTACTACACCAGGACTACTACATCATGCCTACTACATCATGCCTACTACATCATGCCTACTACACCATGCCTACTACATCATGCCTACTACACAATGCCTACTACAACATGCCTACTACAAAATGCCTACTACAACATGCCTACTACCTTTTCCTCTACAAAATAATTAACACTTGTGAGTACTAATGATACTACAAAAATACTATTACTTACAACAATGCAAATTGTTTTGAAAAACAATGAATATAATTAGACCTTAATGTTACATTTTCTGCCGAAAACGAACTAGAAGATACCATATGTTTAATGAAGTATGTGACTCCAGAAATAGTGGTCCTCAAGAGTGTTTAATGGTAATTAGATGGTCACCAGAACCCAAGAAGTTGGGGACTGCTAATCTAGGCCAATAATCTATTTCTGGATAACTGTCAGGCTGTTAAGTACTACTTACTGTAGAAATCCACAAACAACAATGAAACCTCCATTGACCTACAACTGTTCACAGTTCCACTACGAAACAGTAAATCAACCACGTCTGTGTCTGATATGTGAATCCTGATTGGAGACGTTTATAATACAGTAACCTTTGTGTTGCCATAGATGTGATACTACATCCACCTGGCTGAACGGAGGCACGAGTGGCAATAGATTATTTATTTGTTGATATTCCCCTTTAGGACTTGCTGCTATAACCTCCCTACTCTAGTGTGTAGGTGAAGAGAGCCCTCTGTTATTATAATTGCTCAGCTTCTGAAAAGCAAATCCTATTAATATTCCACCAGCAGTCACTGCTGCGATTAATTCATTTTAAACAAATGCAATCTGTACGGGGGATTCTTGGGTAACAAAAATGTTTTGTCATCAGAATAACTTGGGGGCTTGATTAAAAAAAAGATCTCACGGGCAATTACTGCCTATTGGAAAAAAAGGAGAGGATGTATATATTGTAAACAAAGACAAGGCCCCGTTATATTCCTGCAAATACCATGTACACTGACTAGCCATGTAGAGAACAGTCATTAGCCCCATTATTTATATATATATATATATACATATATATACCTACCCTGTACACTGACTAGCCATGTAGAGAACAGTCATTAGCACCATTATATATATATATATATACCCTGTACACTGACTAGCCATGTAGAGAACAGTCATTTGCCCCATTATATATATCCTGTACACTGACTAGACATGTAGAGAACAGTCATTTGTTGCTGTAAATTGTTGTATTAAACATCTAGTTAATACTGTAGGAAGTAGGAACCATGGTATTTAGAGGTAACCCATTTGGTGAGAGTATTAAAGAAACCTACGAGATATGGTCCGAGAGAGAACGTCATACCTAATATGATATCCGATATAACATATTCTAATTTCTAACGGGTGTATGATCAGTGAAAGGGATGCATGCTGGGTGCTACGCTGATTATCTAGGGCTGAACACTCGTCTTGAACGGTGAGATACGGAGAATGTTTCTCCTCTGTGAAAGCCTGTGGGTTTCTTTTTTGTGAATGTCTGTCTGTATAAGGTAATTAAAGGTGCCTTTATTTTTCTGAAATGGCCGAACCTTGAACCATGTTAAGGAGGGCCTTTTATAACATGTATTTCATAGAGGTCTAGGTTCACAAATGTGCATTAGGTCATACGAAATATACAAAGTAGTTTATAGTACGCATCCTCCCCTCCAGACTGTTCTTGGGCCATGAATGAAGCTTTACATTTTTCTTTTTATCCAAGTAGAATGGAGACCAAATGTGTGGGGACAATATGGAAGGTCACGTTTCATTTTAAGGGCCTGTTCATGTTGGTTTTATTGTATACAGAATGAAACATTTTATGTGCCCAGTCCCCTCCTAGTAAAAAAGTAAGATTTACACATAAAAATGATTTTCATCAACATGTTTCATTTTAAAACCCTAAAACAGAAACTCGATTTAATTCAACTCAACCATATTGGGAGATATTCATTTGAAAAAATGAAATTAAATGTTACTTGCCGAAGAATTTAAGAACTATAAATATTTGGTAGAGCCACCTTTTTCAGTTATACATGCCCTAAATCTTGAGGTCTGTACCTGTTTTGCAGACATTATCAAAAAGATTTGTTCCCATTTGTCTTGGCAGATTTGCTCCAGGTTTTTTAAGTTGCTTTGGGCAGCGTTTCTGGGCAGCCATTTAAAAATATTACCTCAGATTCTCAGTGGAAGTCATATCAGAACTTGTCAGATATTCACCTTTATGTTGTTGATGCTTTGGCCTTGTCCTGCTTCTGTTTGTTTGTAAACTGAAAAAGGTTCTCTTGCCGTGTTTCCTTGGATTGTGTTGCATCTCTTCTTCCTTCATTTTCAGTCCCTGCTGATTAATAGTTTTGCTTCAACATGGTGCTGTCGCCACCAACACTGTAGGAATGGTGCCCTTTGTTGCTTAGACGGCAACGCATTGTCCTGGCAATGCCAGAGGTTGTGGGTTTGATTCCCACTGGAGGCCTGCTTCCCCATGTCATTCCTGATTGTGGTGTCAACTGAATGACTGAAATGTGGGACTTAAGGAGCATGGTTAGGTTGGCATCAGTTGTTTGCAACCAAGCTCTTACAGTCATATTATTCTGTTTGTAACGGCACACAAAGCTGGGTCCTGGTTGATCATACTTTTGGTTTACGGTTTAAAAAACTCCCCATAGCTGCGCTTTCTGATTAAAATGTCAGACACAGTCAAACTCTCTTTATCTCCAATTTAACACGAAATCAATCGAAAGTATTTTCCAACAGTTTGAAGCAGCGAACGTTTTGCTGCTGCAGTATCAGTTGCAGGAGAGGGAGGGAGGAGAAAAAAACAAAGATCCACTTAAGATGACAAACGGCATCAGATCTTGTCCTTACTCTATGGAAGGGTCTTGGAGCTTCTCCTGGAATACTGAGATCTGTGCTCCAAACAAAGTGAAGAGAGTTTGCATGTGCAGAGAAATCGGGTGATCCAATGGAGCGTATTCAGTTGGCATCTGGTGTGAGTTAAATGGGATACATTTCCCTTGGCCTCAGACAGACAGCTGTGGATCTCACCAGCGTTGGCATCCCCCAACTGTCATAACTCAAATCATTATAGCTGATCAACTGAATTCAGACAATTTATAAACAATAACCCTTAACCACAGTTGGTGCACTGATCATGTTTTAATTGCATAATTGTACACAAAAACGGAGAAAAAACGAAAGAGTTGACTAAGATTGGAAAACAAATCTGTTTTAAGGTCAATATTTTAATCTGCCTACACATCACACAGCTATGAGCTAAAACGACATCTATGCTTCTCGTCAGGCCAGGTTTTAGACTACTGAAATAACACAGTCTGTGAGGCATCTCAGCGCACCCAAATTACAATCGTGATAATAATGCCTGAGTTTCCAGTACCCAAATGCACGTGCACACTACTTGCTCTGGAAAAGACCATCTGCTAAATGACGTAAATCTCGAGACCTGAAGATACCTTTGAGTTAAGGCGATCAGCGATCAATGCGATTCCTATGAAGCCCTCTGTATTTTAATATAAACTATATCTATATTACAAGGAATGCAACGATGAACCGTATTTGGATCATCTCCCGTTTTATACAAATGAACTCAAAGAGCAACGTGTTATCTGATTTCTGAATGCGTCTTCTTGAAGTTGTTGACAAACTTGCAAACATAGCCGAATAGCTCCTGTGAATCTTGATCCTTCGGCTCTCCAAATTTAACCTTTAAGAAAAAAGACAAATAACAGACCGTTTTTATTTTTCACATCCAAGTCCCACGCCCTTGCTTTAGTCATGTTTTTTCCTAGTTTGCATAGGTTATTATCTGTAACATGACAGCCCACACTAATTCTAATTCCTGGAGGTTAAGGGATGTGTCTAGTTTGGTTTGGATGCATAATGTACCTGCACTATAATGCTAACTCTGTTTGCAATAATAAGCTGATAAACTGCATGAGCATGGAAGCAATTACTAGACTTAAATATCTTAAATGAGATCGACTGATGGCCACGGCATGAATACATGTCTAGAGTATTCTCTCCTCGGGGTCACAAACCAATACAACGAGTGTGTCATTAAAACAGGAGCCCGGGAGTGACATTCAACACATATCAGACATGAGTCAACTAAACTGTATAAACATCCCACTCAACAGCTATGCTAAAGCAACAACACAGCAAGATATTTGGATGGTATTCTTTTGGATGTTTTAGTATTTAACCAAACAGTACAGACTTTAAAATGCATGTTAAAGGCTTTTAAATATAGAGTAAAGGGTTTTAACCACACAGTGTAGGCTTCTAATCATGCAGAATAGGCTTTTAACCATACAGAATAGGCTTCTAATCATGCAGAATAGGCTTTTAACCATGCAGAATATGTAACAATACACAATACACGGCTATTACCATACAGCTATTACCATACAGTTTACGTTATTACCATACAGTTTACGCTATTACCATACAGCTAATACCATACAGTTTATGCTATTACCATACAGTTTACGTTATTACCATACAGTTTATGCTATTACCATACAGCTAATACCATACAGTTTATGCTATTACCATACAGTTTACGTTATTACCATACAGTTTACGTTATTACCATACAGTTTATGCTATTACCATACAGTTTACGCTATTACCACACAGCTATTACCATACAGTTTACGTTATTACCATACAGTTTATGCTATTACCATACAGTTTACGCTATTACCATACAGCTAATACCATACAGTTTATGCTATTACCATACAGTTTACGTTATTACCATACAGTTTATGCTATTACCATACAGTTTACGCTATTACCACACAGCTATTACCCTACAGTTAACGCTATTACAACACAGCTATAACAACACAGCTATTACAACACAACTATTACCATTCGGTTTACACTATTACAACACAGCTATTAGAACACAGCTATTACCACACAGCTATTACCATTCGGTTTACACTATTACCACACAGCTATTACAACACAGCTATTACAACACAGCTATTACAACACAGCTATTACAACACAGCTATTACAACACAGCTATTACAACACAGCTATTACAACACAGCTATTACCACACAGCTATTACCACACAGCTATTACCACACAGCTATTACCACACAGCTATTACCACACAGCTATTACCACACAGCTATTACCATACAGCTATTACCACACAGCTATTACCACACAGCTATTACCACACAGCTATTACCACACAGCTATTACCATTGCTTCCCCATCTGACTGCAGCAGTATTGTTCCTCTAGGAAGCAGAGGGACAGTTTAGATAACGTCACAGATATAAGCTGTGTGAGGGTCAGTCTCTTCACCCTTCACTTTCTCCATGTTTCTCTCCCTCTCTGCTGCTGATCACCATTACTGGTGTGTGTGTGTGTGTGTGTGTGTGTGTGTGTGTGTAAAGGTGGGTGGGAAAAAGTTTGAAGTGCAGGAATTTTACTGTGGGACCTACTATAACACAATTTCCTGGCAAGCCTTAGGCTCACCCTTCACCCTGTCAAGAATCACAACTCACACCCAGAACACAGCAAAGTCAGGTGGACTGGGATGATGGATTATGTTTCGGGAAATGGGGAAGGTTGGAAAATGCATTACTTTCCTTGAAAATACATTGTTCTATTTAAGTGTTGCTTTGTTCCAACTGGGCACACACAGCACACACAAAAGGCTTATGCCAAAGTTGACAAAAATATATATATGGAAATGTGCATGTACAATATGCATGAAATATGCACGCACAATATGCATGAAATATGCATGTACAATATGTATGAAATGTGCATGTACAATATGTATGAAATATGCATGTACAATATGTATGAAATGTGCACGTACAATATGTATGAAATGTGCATGTACAATATGCATGAAATATGCACGCACAATATGCATGAAATATGCATGTACAATATGTATGAAATGTGCATGTACAATATGCATGAAATGTGCATGTACAATATGTATGAAATGTGCATGTACAATATGCATGAAATATGCACGCACAATATGCATGAAATATGCATGTACAATATGTATGAAATATGCATGTACAATATGTATGAAATGTGCATGTACAATATGTATGAAATGTGCATGTACAATATGCATGAAATATGCACGCACAATATGCATGAAATATGCATGTACAATATGTATGAAATGTGCATGTACAATATGTATGAAATATGCATGTACAATATGTATGAAATGTGCACGTACAATATGTATGAAATATGCATGTACAATATGTATGAAATGTGCATGTACAATATGTATGAAATGTGCATGTACAATATGTATGAAATATGCATGTACAATATGTATGAAATGTGCACGTACAATATGTATGAAATATGCATGTACAATATGTATGAAATGTGCATGTACAATATGTATGAAATGTGCATGTACAATATGTATGAAATGTGCATGTACAATATGTATGAAATGTGCATGTACAATATGTATGAAATGTGCATGTACAATATGCATGAAATGTGCATGTACAATATGTATGAAATGTGCACGTACAATATGAAATGTGTATGTACAATATGTATGAAATATGCACGTACAATTGGCTAATATCTCATTAGATATTTGGGTTTGATTCTGCTCGGTATGTTTGTATCAACAAAGTCACATGTTGTGATCTATACTGTCGGTCTGAAAACTACACATTAGGGTGTAGTTCCTAGTATGCACTTATGTGGAATACAGCAGAATTTGCTACTTTGATACACTCTGTAATATCCCTATTTTTTACACTCCTCCAATTTTCAGGAGGTCCAAAACGCAATTTTGTCTTGGCTTGCTGCCGCAGTTTCTAAGAATCTTCAGAAGAGTTTTGAGATATTTCCTGTGATGCATCTATTCCAAGCTATTGTACTTATAACGTCAATAGATTACTCAACCAGGAAGTATTTTCCGGTATAAAGCCTCTCAAATGTTTGGGGTCACATAGAAATGTCCTTGATCAGAAATCTAGAGTGTAGACATTGTTCATGTTATGAGAATTGTAGCAGGAAATGGCTGACTTTTAATTGAATATCTACATGAGTACAGAGGCCCATTATCAGCCACCATCACTGCTGTGTTCCAATGGCACATTGTGTTTGCTCTCAAGTTTATCATTTAAAATGCTAATTGGTCTTTCGAACATTTCCAATCAAGTTAGCACAGCTGAAAACTGCTGATTAAAGAAACAATAAAACTGGACTTATTTAAGTCTAGTTGAGAATATTGAGCATTGGCAATTGTGGGTTTGATTACAGGCTTGAATTGTCCAGAAACAAGTAACGTAGTTGTGTGAAACCTGTCCGTCTTTGTTTTGAGAAATGAAGGCTGTTCCAATAAACAGAATATCTCATACATTGCTGTGTACTACTTCCTTCACAGAAATGCGCAAACGTCACTAACCAGAATAGAAAGACGAGTGGG